CCACCCCACCCCACAGTCACAGGTCAGGGGCCCGGGGAGGGGGCAGGGGGATTCGTGCCAGGCTCCAGGTGTGCCATAAATGCCCATCCCCCATGCCCTGACACAGTCTTCTTCTACAGCCCCAACCACCCTCCCCCTTCCTCTCTGTCTTCCCACTCAGTCCTCAAGACTTCCTCTAATGCCAGCTCCTTAATGTAGTAAAAATATTTCCTGTTTCTCAGCCAAAATGCCTGTCCCTTCTGGGCACACGCACAGCACTCGTGAGTCCACCTTCCTGCTAGCTCGTGGAAGTCAAGAGGATACTATAGGCTTCAGAGTTAGATGGATCGTAACTGGAGTCTTGACTCAAGCTTTTTGTTTTTTGTTTTTTAATTGGAATCCAACCATGTTACCCAGGCTGGAGTGCGGTGATATAATCACGGTTCACCACAGCCTCAACCTCCTGGGCTCAGGCCATCCTTCCACCTCAGCCTCCTGAGTAGCTAGGACTATAGACACACACCACCATGCCTGGCTAATTTTTTTATTTTATGTAGAGACAAGGTCTCTCTGTGTTGCCCAGGCTGGTCTTGAACTCCTGGACTCAAGCAATCCTCCCATCTGGGCCTCCCAAAGTTCTCAAACATTTTCTAGCCTGTGAATGTGGGCAAATTAGTTTCCCCCAAGTTTCAATAATGTCACCCCCAGAATTACTGAGATCAATGACTCTATAGCATGACTTTCAAACTTGCTCAGTGGAGTTACTATATGGGCAAAATACCATGAAAGCTTGATATATTTCATTGCATCCTGTGAACTAGGAACTACTCTACTAGAAAAAATTATAATTACATTACACATATTCAGGTTTCCAAATATAAAGTGTGTGTATGTGTTTTTCAAAATCACTGCTATTTTCTTCAAAACCACTGCTCTAGCTGGATGTGGTGGCTCAAGCCTGTTATTCCAGTCCTTTGGGAGGCAGAAGTGGGAGGATTGCTTGAGCTCAGGAGTTCAAGACCAGCCTCTGGTTTCTTCTTTTGCCCAGCCTGGGCAACATGGTAAGACTGCAGCTCCACAAAAATTTTTTAAAAAATTAGCTGGGTGCGGTGTTATATGCCTGTAGTCCCAGCTACTCAGGAGGCTGAGGTGGAAAGATCCCCAGGAGGTTGAGGCTGCGGTGAGCTGTGATCATGCCACTGCACTCCAGCCTAAGCAACAGAGTGAGACCCTGACTCAAATAAATAAATAAATAACTGCTCTAAGTGTATCAATTAAATGTTTGTTATTTGTTTATTAACCCCCCCCCATTTGCTAATGTAACTTAACAAGTAGCAGAAGGTACCAAAAGTTTAAGAAAATATAACAGAGGGAGGAAAAAACTTAAAGATTAGAAAATTCTATTCCTAACTCATTTTGGAAGGTCAATAAATATAATTACTGAATTTTAGTGATTAAACACTTCGTCTGAGAACATTCATTCCACTGCCTGTCACATGGTATGTGCTGAATAAATATTATTTGAATCTGATTTTGAAAATCAAATTAAATCCCCCGAAAGTAAGGTCATGTCTCATTCACCAATTCAATGAGCTCCTAACATCATACCTGGCACATAGTAGTCGCTCAATAAATGTTAGCATAATAAATAAACTAAAGCTAGGAAAGCATGCGGAGATTAACAAGACATCTTGCATTTCCAGTTAATTTGGACTACAATTTGCTGCCCAAATAAGTTATATTCCAACATCTATCAGATGTTCCTTCTGTGCTCATCCCTTCCTCTGAGATATTTAGAGTCTTTGGAGGGAGAAATACGTGGGTAGACTCCTCCCATAGGCATAAATTGATTAAGATAACTAGGTGGGAGGAAGATGTCACCTGCACTCTTGTATTGTAACATGGGGACCAAAGAAAACAGCAAGCTTCCTACACGATACCTGTCAGCCACACAGAGACCCATGAACCTCCTATTCAGAATATGTCTGGTGATGGTAAACACTGTCAAGATTACAGAAGGCAGATCCTTTTGCATTCTCTGATGAAAAACCCACACTGCGTATGTATGTTTCTTTCTAACTGAAGCACAAGATAGGAAGAAGAAGAAGAAACAAACAAAATTGTTTCTAAACAGAAGAAACAATTGTTTCTCTCTCACTACAAATGACATTGCAGGCAAATGTTTATGAACAAAGATACTTGTTACTTATCTCTAAGTGAAAAGGAGAAGTTACCAAAGAACTTGTAGCAAACATGAAATACTCTTTTAGGATTAAATAAAAAACAAACATATATATTAAGTAGAATAATAAAATAGAAGGGTTTTTTACTTCTTTTAAAGCAATCAAAGGTTGATTTTTTTTGAAGGTGAATTTATATTTTGTCACCATGACAGACTCAAGTTTCCAGAAATCCACTTCAAATAATTAAATAAAACATTTGAAACAAGGAAGACTTTGAAAATACATATGTGATTCAGAAGAAAATGAAAGTGGGAGACAAAGATTAAAAAGAAGTATGGAGGTTGTTTAGAGGTCTGCATTTTCTATAAAACGGTATGCTTGCTTTCCCAAAAAGAAACCACTGATACATTAAAGTATCCCCAACAGTTTTCAAAGTGCCATCAGAAACAATGATTTTAATAAATTTCAGAGGCCAGGCACTGTGGCTCATGCCTGTAATCCAGGCACTTTGGGAGGCTCAGGCGGGAGGATTGCCTGAGCCTAGGAGTTTGAGACCAGCCATAGCAAGACCTCATCTAAACAAAAACCAAAGTATTTGCTAGGTGTGGTGGCATGCACCTAATTTCCCAGCTACTCAGGAGGCTGAAGCAGAAGGATCGCCTAAGGCCAGGAGGTTGAGGCTGCAGTGAGCCATGATGATGCCACTGCACTCCAGTCTAGGCGATGGAGTGAGACCCTTCAAAAAATAAAATAAAATAAAATAAAGAAAGAAATACATTTCAGGAAAGGCATCTCTCCTGCCCCTTCCATCCCTTCCTGTGAACCTCCATACAACTAGTTCTTCAAGACTGTATTTATGTACATCAAATTTTTGTATTATAACTTTTTTTTTTAACTTAAGAGTAAATTGTGAGTATTCTTCTGTGCATACATATATTCACTTATAACATCAATTTTAGTAAACAGAGATCTTTTTGTCACGGTCCCTGTAGTAACACGGTGGCTATCTTTAGCGTATTATTGTACACAAAGTCCAACAGATGCCTTGCCTTTAAAAAAATGGAAACATAACTTTTACAACAATGCCACAATGTATCCCACAAGGAAATATTTTAGTATAATGGAAGGAAAACCATTCACTAGAGACTATATTAAATTTTAAAGAAATGTTAATCTATTTGAAAGGCTGTTTAAGTAGTTTACTTCCAGAGGCTACATTATATTTCCAATCTGAAAACCACAGCAAATATCTAGATCCTGAAGCCCAAAGAATTACTTTTTTGACCTTTTCATTTCATTTCGTGGGTAGACTGGTGGCTTCTGACATAATCCTTTTTCAAATATCCTTCTAAGATGAAACTACAACTAGAACACAAAAGATTTCCTTCATTTTAAGATTAATAACTGATGATAAGACTACAAAATTCAACTAACAGATTCCTATACTTAAAAAAAATCCTACTGATGACAATATTCCACTATGGCAAATACTTGTAACAAATCTGTTTTTGGTGAATTTTTTCAAAGCCTTTGCTTTCAATGAATTTATATTTTAGCAGTTTTGACTGCTCTCAGAAATTATATCTGTGTGTATATGCAATATACATATATACACACAAAATGTCTAATATGTGTGTATATTTTGATCACAAATATTTAACTTCAAATAAGTTTCAAAATTGAAGATTCTTACCTTATACTTATGATAAAATAATACATAAATTAATTATAATTAAATACATAGTAAATACAATATAACAATACAAGCCATGAGCTCTGATCTTACTATTTAACTGTCCCATAGAACTTCTAGAACAAGTTCTTTTCTTTTTTTGTTTTGTTTTAAACATGTTTCAACTAGCTCTCTTGTACTGTCAGAAATGAGAAGGAGAACTAACACATAAGCATACAAAATGGAGAAAACTGTCCAGTAATTACAGGAAAGCAGCTCCTACTGTCACTGATGTTTCTAGAACACACCAGGAAGGAGATTTGTGTGTCTCTCTGTGTGTGTGTGTGTGTATCTTTGTGTGTACATGTGGCACATTCGCATGTTTTATTTTGCATACATTCTTATGGGCATTTTGTCATTCATGCTTCCAAGCAGTATCCACACAAAAAGAAGACTGACTCTGTTATCTTTATGACCCATTTTACATTTTTGAAAAAGACCAGAGAATAAAACAGAACTTTACGACCCCAAGTAATTTTTCCTAAAAGACAGTAAAAACATTCATACAAGTATCTCAAATAGAATGTCTTACAATATCTAAGAAAAATTATAAAACAACGAAACTGAGAGGTATTTCAGTTCTTCCAAGAGCAAGCCACATGAAAGATTTATTGGACAAGCAATTCCATATCTTGCTTTCTTTCCCAGACAGGTAAAGAGCCAAGTCGATATCACTGTTACACTAAAAATGCGGAACTAAGAGCCTGTGCAAAATGTCTCAGAGTCTAAAACACTCACAGCTCAGACAACTAGATTCACTCACCTTTCGGTCACATCATATGACATTGCTTTGTTTCTAAAGTTTAATTCACCATCTGCAAGCCTGACACAGGTTTTAGCACAACCCTGAGGTCTCAGTTTATGAAGCCCAAAAGAAATGACACAATGTAGAAAAAGTCATTCGAATCACTTGGAAGTTTTTTGTTTTTGTTTTTTTCCAAAAAGGCTTCCTGAGTTCTCGTCCATGTTACAAATCCATAAAAGCATAAAAAATGTATTAAGCCAGGGATGGAAGTAGAAAAGCCACAGACCCATTGCTTAATTTCTGATAGAAGTATAACCACATTTGTAAAAAGCAAGTTAAAAATTACTTACTTGCCCCAGGCTCAGAAGGTGAGCCACCTTTTCCTCACAAAGTCTGTTAATTAACAGCAATCACCCAAGGAGGTCAGGCAGCCCAGACAGACCTAGAAAAGGTGTAGAGACAAAAATTTAAAATTCAAAATCAAATGGGAAATTAAAACTCAAAATTCCCCATTGCTATTCAGAGTATCTCTGCATAATTAAAATAAACATTTCACTGGCATACCTAAACAACAGGTATGTAGGCCGCTTTTCCTTCATAATATACCAACAAGGCTTTCTAAATCTACATGGCATTTCGATCTGTCTGTTATTGAAGTTCCTAAAGCAGGAGCTACCAAGGCTTCTTGGCAATCGCCCCTGTCAAAAATGTCTGTCCCAAGGAGTCTCAAGAGGGAATGGGGGAGAATCTGGACCCTTAACTATACCATGATTGGGAGGGAAGCTCTTTCGAAAACACACCTGCAGACCCCCTTCTAAAGATGAGCTTATCTCAGAACACAGGAGTGGTTACAGACAGAAGCGAACCACAACAACTTAAAAAGGATCGACATCTTTTAAGCACTCTTCAACGGTATTCCAGTGCTCACTTCACTTTTGCATACAGGAATGCGAAGAGACAGCTATGTTCATTGTTTCTTAATAAAATGAAAAACCTGAAAACTGCATGATTGATAACCTCATTTAAAAGAGAAGTTAATTCCCCCATTACAATCCTGATAAAATAGTTTAAGCAGGCAAAGCAGATGCCCCAGGTAACCCATAATCTAATGTCTGTAACCCTCAGGCGCTCACAGGGGCCTCAGCTTCCATGGAATTCTAAGAAGCATGAAAAACTCATTTACAAGTCACAAGAGATTGAGAAATCAATCAATTAGAAAGAGGGAGGCCAGGTGTGGCGGCTCACGCCTATAATCCCAACACTTTGAGAGGCCAAGGCGGGAGGATCTCTTGAGCCCCAAAATTCAAGATCAGGCTGGGCAACATAGTGAGACTTCATCTCAACAAAAAAATTTTAAAAATTAGCCAGGCATGGTGGCGTGTGTCTGTAGTTCCAGCTACTTGGGAGGCCATCTGCTTTTTAGTTATGACTACTTGCTACAATACCTGCCAGTGACCTCAGCTTCCAGCAGTGTGCTTCAAGCCACACCTGGTCACAGCTGGGGTCCAGACTCCATGGGTTTCATGTTACCCATCTTCAAATCACAACGACTCACAGTGGCAACCCTTCCAAGGCACCTGCCCATCCAGCCAGCAAACATCAGAACTTTTTCAGGGTAAAGTGCCATATTTATTGTACTATCTATGTGCTCATGCCACTGCACTGTAGCCTAGGCAATAGCATGAGACCCCAACTTGAAGAAGAAGGAAGAGGAGTAGGAGGAGGAGAAAAAAAGAGGGTGCCACTACAGCAAGTAGACATAACTAAAAAGTAGATAGAAACTTGCAAACACCGAAAGGCATATAATTTATTACCATTGCCTTTGCTGGCCAACATTTATATAACATTGACGCTTATGCCAGATTCTTCTCTAAGTGTTTTACATCTATTAATTCTACTTAGCATAGAAACAAGCAGAATTTCAAATTTCACCTAATCCCCTAGACATCACTGTCTTACTGTACTCTATGCTCAGTTCTGTTACAAGGCCTGTGTTTGTTCCAAGAGAACATTTTGAGTGTAACTCGAATTGTGTGTTTGTGCATGCTTTATTTCATTGCAAGAAACACTAGGTAATTGTAGCAGACTTGAACCCAGCTTCACAAGGATACATAGAATGCACGTGACTCATGCCTCAAACACCTGCCAGCGACCTCAGCTTTCCAGCACTGTGCTTGGAGCCACACCTGGTCACAGCTGGAGTCTCACCTCCATGGGTTTCAGGTTACCCATCTTCACACTTCACAATGACTCACAGTGGCATCACTTCCAAGACACCGGTCCAGAATGTTTTCAAGGTAAACTGCCATGTTTATCCTACTATCTATGTGTTTATTAATCATTTAATATGTGAAAAAAATTGTGCTACAAATTTTATTCAATTCTCTCTTTTAAAAAAATTTTTAATGTGTCACAGACAGGTTTGGGTATTGTGTCCCAACTCCATTTCTCTCATAAGCACTGCGGGTTTTACTGCATGGTTTTGCATAATATGATGGTTTTGAGGAACACATATGTCACATTTTAGCAGAACTGACCGTACAATAACTAGTGTTTCAAAGGATGCTTGTGATTTATCCAGAAGGGGTTAAACTATGATCTTCATATTTGGTCATTACAGCAATACAATCTGGCACAATTTTAGAAGACTTTCATTCACAATGCGTATAATTACCAACTTAAGGGTCAATTTCAGTTATGGGAAAAATGAACTTGTGAGAAGCTCCTTAATGAGGTGTCACTACACCATCCCAGATAGCCCAAGATGATAGAACCCTAAAGACAGACTTGCAGATAGGAGAGCTCAACCAGAAGTGCTAGACAGGTCACTCTGAATGGGATTATTTTTCATTCCTTCAAACCAATATGTTGAAAAATAGATAATAAATCTTCTTTTTAAAAGTTCAAGATATGCATAAAGATATACATAAAGTTTTCTAGCATAAGTATTATCAGTGTAAACAATTTTAAAATGTAAGTATCCAACAATGTATAAGTAGCTCTCAAAAATCTGTAGAATACTTAACACAATGGGACAATATTCATTGGGAAAAGACTATAAATCAGTGTGCTGAATATCATCCCGATTTTATTTAAAAGTATGTACATGTCTAGCAAAAAAGACCAGAAAGAAAAAAGACACCATTTGAAAAGCTAATTCCAGATGGCATAATGAGAACCAAGGAATTGTCACTCTCTTTACATTTTGCATTTAGTGAGAAAATCTCTTTTTAACCCTCACTTTAACTTCACATGTGAATCCAGCAAGTACTATGAAGCCCAGGAACAAGAAACACCTTGTTCCTTCCTCATCCATCACAAGTATTAATAGATGGCCAAACCTTTGAAAATATTTTCTATTTCATAATTCAAGGACAAATTCAGTCCTAACAGGGATGTTTAAAGTATATAAAACATTACAAGTGGCTCACACCTGTAATCCCAGCACTTTGGGAGGCCGAGATGAGAGGAATGCTTGAGTCCAGGAGTTTGAGACTAGCGTGGGCAACATAGCAAGACCTCATCTCTAGAAAAAAAAAAATCAAAAAATTAGCCAGCATGGTGGTGTGCACTGCAGCTCCAGCTACTGGGAAGGCTGAGACAGAAGGATTACCTGAGCCCAGGAGTTCAAGGTTGTAGTGAGCCGTGATTGTGCCACTGTACTCCAGTATGGGTGACAGAGTAAGATCCCAACAAGGAAGGAAGGAAAGGAGGGAGGGAGGGAGGAAGGGAGGGATGAAATAGAACATTACAGAAGCCAAAATACAATTTGCTTTTTTTTTAATATCAATATTTTTTATTTTGATACTGTGGGGTATAGTTAAGGGTTAGGTATACAAATATGCTTCGTTCAGGCACCCTTGTTGATAAGGGGTGTTTCCCCATCCCCAGACAGATATTACTACCGTTAATCCCACCTCCCTTCCCCCCGCCCACAGTTTCCCACCACTGTCAGTCCTTTTCTTATAGTATTACGATGGATGTTCAAGATCCACTATATGAGTGAGAACATGTGATACTCGGATCTTTGTTTCTATAAGAGGTCACTCAGTATTATAGACTCTAGTTCCATCCAGGTTGCTGCAAAATTCATGATTTTGTTCTTTTTTATGGCTGCGTAGTATTCCATCGTGTATATGTACCACATTTTTTTAATCCAGTCCTCTTTTGATGAACAGCATGGTTGCTTCCAGGTTCTTGCTATTGTGAACAATGCTGCAATAAACATACGTGTGCAGATATCTTTTTCATAGAGTGATTTGAGTTCTTCAGGGTATATTCCCAGTAGGGGGATTGCAGGGTCATATGGGAGGTCAGTATTTAGAGCTTTTAGGAATCGCCACACTATTTTCCACAGAGGTTGCACTAGTTTGCACTCCCACCAACAGTGTAGAAGTGTTCTCTTTTCACCATACCCTCCCCAGCAACTGTTATTTTTTGAGTTATTGATAATTGCCATTCTGACTGGAGTTAGGTGGTATCTCAGTGTGGTTTTGATTTGCATCTCCTTGATGATTAGTGAGGTTGAACATTTCTTCATGTGTCTGTTGGCTGCTTGGATGTCTTCCTTTGAGAAGTGTCTATTCATATCTTTTACTGGCTAGAACAGTCATGGATTTAGTAAAATCCAGATGAAAGATTTTTGTTTATATAATTGTATCCAAGCTGTCTTAATGTCTGAAAGAAATTTTGTTCTGAATAAGAAATTGTGTTCTGGATAAAGCTCCTTTCAAACAAGATCAAGATTAAACAAATACAAAGAGGAATGGATTTAAGCTTCAGAATGAACTTCCAATTTCAGGAGTTTTAAAGAGAAGATAAGAAAAGAGAGATTGATCTTTATAGCCTCGAAAAGAACTCGGCTACATTAAAAATTTCCCAGCTGGGTGCATTGGCTCACACCTGACATTGCAGCACTCTGGGAAGCTGAGGTGAGAGGACTGCCTGAGACCAGGGGTTTGAGATCAACATAGGCAACTTGGTGAGACCTTGTCTCTACAATAAATCAAAAAATTGGCAGGGCGTGGTGGCACGCTCCTGTAGCTCCAGCTACTTGGAAGGCTGAGATGGAAGGATAGCCTGAACCCAGTAGATCTAGGCTATGGTGGCCATGAGCAAGCCACTGCCCTCCAGCCTGGGCAACAGGGTAAGAGTCCAACTCAATAATGATGATGATGATAATTCCAACAACAAAACTGGATTTTAAAAACTTGTCCAAAATGGCAACTCTGAGTCATGAATGTGCTTATTAGCTCAATGCCACATGCTGACATCACATAAGAACTGAATGTTGAGGGCATGCGAGTTTCAAGGGTCAATTTGAGACAACATGGGCACCATACACCTGAGTTCACTCACCTGTGTCTGGCAGCACATTCAAATGATATGTCCCTTCTCATTTTTGGTTTGGCTTTCCTGACACACCTGTATACCCAGGAATGG